CATGTAAATGGTAATTATATTCACATGTTCCAGATTTAAATCTAAAACGAATATATAATTCAAATGCATAGCTGCACGAACGTCTCCAAATATTAATCAAGACGGGGGTGGGGGTGGGGGCTCCAAAGGAATTAGATAGTTTTATGTTTTATGAATTATAAGGAAAAGTACGGACGTCAGTTGCATGTACATAATTATATATCACTGCATAAAATTGTGTTCATTCAGGTATACTTATCCCACATATCAACAGACCTGTGCAATTTTTTTTTCATGTTTTTTTTTCCAAAAGAAACATATAGCGTACCATTATTTCACACAGAATCGCGTTTTCACATATTTTTTTTTTAACTCTTCGAGTATTTCCCAAGATTCCATGCCCAAGAATCGTCTTTTCACATCTTTTATAATTCCTTGGGTATATAGAGTATAGATTATGTGTCATAAATAATTTAACTTTTTATCAAATATACATGTAATAACCAAATCTAATCTATAGATTGATTTTCTTTCTTTTAAGTGGCAGATATCAATTTATTTATAAAGGCTTTAAAACAGTACTGTATTACAATTTTCTATCGCACAATTCCTTTTTGAGTGTATGTAATATTTTTTTAATATCGAAAATAAAACTCGGAAATCGGGATAATTTCGCATTCAAATCATAGAGAATAATAAATCGTCTGCATTATAGAAGGCTTATAACTATCGTATTCTGAACTTACTATACGAGATAGATAAAACTGCATTCCTGTCCATCACTATAAATGTATACTCAGTGCTTATAATATACTTACTTGAATTAGGTACCTAGCATATATATTAATTTTTTTTTTTTTTAGATATATTCATGTGTAAATAAATTAACTGTCAATACAGACTTACACTACACTGGCAACTTTAAACTATACATGCATTGGAAGTGGTAACTAACGTACTCTTATATTTAGAAGAGTGAATATGGAACGTCTAAATATTTTGATATGGAGAGTGTATATGTCTCTTACGTCATCGATACTATTTCCGCCTTTATCTCGAAAGTTCTATTCTCACTTACAAGTCAGAGTTATCTTTCTTTGCCCATTGTTTACACACTAGGTAAATAGGGAAAATGAGGGTACCGAAAATCTGCAAAATGTGGAATCTGATTTCAAAACAAATTATATATTTGATATTTGTAGAATAACCTCTGTTATACATAATAATATCTTGAAAAAATATTAAAAAACAAAAAAGTTGAAAATTGACCAAACACAAGTTCACTTCCGGTTCGGACAGGAAGTACCGGAAACACACGAAAACAACTTCGAAACAAAGAGAATGTCATGATCTAATACTCCTGTAAATTTCACATCTTTACCTCAAACCGTTTCCGAGAAAAATTCCGGACAAAAGTGCATTTAAAAATTGGAAATTCGGCCGTAACTTCGGACCGGAAGTGAATTTTTCAAAAAAGGGAATTTTATATAAACTTCATATATCAGCCTACTATCATGTGAAAAATTGTGAAAATCTATCCAACCATCTCTGAGTAATCGCGCTCACAAAATTTGGGAGGAATAATAATAATAATAATAATAATAATAACTAGACTCTTGTTGCCATGGCAACAAAAGGGTCTTCCGTTCTTCTAAATCTGTAAGAATTTGCTTTTTTCTGTGTAAAAAACATACATATCATATTTACTGTGAAAGAAAAAAATAACTGGAAAAAAGTCCTTTCAGTACTTAAGGTACTTTGATTTTCATTATCAATCTTGTATAATACATTTGGCACCTATAAGAGATATACGTATATCATTAGCAATTTAAAAAAAAAATGTTTGCAATCATTTCTAAGACAAACAAACAGACGAACGAACACCGTACTATCATAAACTTCACTGTGTGTATGTTTTGGCATAATTGTGATGGTGTTATAAAAAAATATAATGAATTAAGTTAGTATCACATTAAACATAAAGTCACTGAGTTTTGTAAAGTTATAATATCAAGATTTGACAACATACCTATAAGACAGATTATTCAATTACAGTAATTCTTCAGCAATCGATTGATTGATTGATTGATTGATTATACGTATGTTGTTTAACGTCCCTCTCCAGAATTTTTCACTCACATGGAGACGCCTCCACTCGCCGGTGGAGACTGTAAATTTTTGTCCTATACTTTGGCACTTATCGCAATTGAGCAGTGGGGAATCTTTTTTATGCCAGCATCTTCTGCGACAAGGGACCTCGATTTATACGATCTCATCCAAAGGACCGGTCTCCACGTCCCACAGTCGAAGTTCATAATACCGAGATATTTTATTTTTTTATTTTATTCTATTTTTTCACAAGTTTGTTGCAGCAGATTTACTTAAAGATCATACTTCAAGATCATTTCGAACTCAGGCTACTTAATTGCAGTGCATACAGCGTCAAGTGATTTTGATTGACAGGTCAACACACGTGCACTTCGTGTGATACTTTTTAAGCTAAAAAATATACAGGATGTGACCATGACTGACTATGAAATCAGAAAACATCTAATAAAGAATGGGTGTGACCGATAAAGAACTAATTTTTGGTTTGGATCGGGATTAAGAGGGAATCTCTCCTCTCTCTCTCTCTCTCTCTCTCTCTCTCTCTCTCTCAGACATGTAAATTGAACATTTCATAATTATAAAATATGAAATTCTGTATACATGTAAATGGTAATGTTATTCACATGTTCCAGATTTAAATCTAAAACGAATATATAATTTTATGAATTATAAGGAAAAGTACGGACGTCAGTTGCATGTACATGATTATATATCATTGCATAAAATTGTGTTCATTCAGATATACTTATCCCACATATCAACTGACCTGTACAATTTTTTTATCATGTTTTTTTTTCAAAAGAAACATATAGCGTACCATTATTTCACACACTCTTTAACTCTTTGAGTATTTCATAAGAATCCAAGAATCGCCTTTTCACATCTTTTATAATTCCTTGGGTATATAGAGTATAGATCATGTGTCATAAATAATTTAACCTTTTATCAAATATACATGTAATAACCAAATCTAATCTATAGATTGATTTTCTTTCTTTTCAGTGGCAGATATCAGTTTATTTATAAAGGCTTTAAAACAGTACTGTATTGCAATTTTCTATCGCTTAATTCCTTTTTTGAGTGTATGTAATATTTTTTAATATAAAGTAAAACTTGGAAATCGGGATAATTTCGCATTCAAATCATAGAGAATAATAAATCTCTGCATTATAGAAGGCTTATAACTATCGTATTCTGAACTTAATATACGAAATAGATAAAACTGCATGCCTGTCCATCACTATAAATGTATATTCAGTGCTTATAATACATTTAATTGAATTAGCTACCTAGCATATATATTTTTTTTTTTAGATATATTCATGTGTAAATCAATTAACTGTCAATACAGACTTACACTACACTGGCAACTTCAAACTTTACATGCACTGGAAGCGGTAACCAACGTACTCTTAGATTTTGAAGAGTGAATATAGAACGTCTAAATATTTTGATATGGAGACTGTATATGTCTCTGACGTCATCGATACTATTTCCGCCTTTATCTCGAAAGTTCTATTCTCACTTACAAGTCAGAGTTATCTTTCTTTGCCCATTGTCTACACACTAGGTAAATAGGGAAAATGACGGTACCGAAAATCTGCAAAATGTGGAATCTGATTTCAAAACAAATTATATATTTAGTATTTGTAGAATAACGTCTGTTATACATAATAATATCTTGAAAAAATATTAAAAAACAAAAAAGTTGAAAATTGACCAAACACAAGTTCACTTCCGGTTCGGACAGGAAGTACCGGAAACACACGAAAACAACTTCGAAACAAAGAGAATGTCATGATCTAATACCCTTGTAAATTTCACATCTTTACCTCAAACCGTTTCCGAGAAAAATTCCGGACAAAAGTCCATTTAAAAATTGGAAATTCGGCCGTAACTTCGGACCGGAAGTGAATTTTTCAAAAAAGGGAATTTTATATAAACTTCATATATCAGCCTACTATCATGTGAAAAATTGTGAAAATCTATCCAACCATCTCTGAGTAATCGCGCTCACAAAATTTGGGAGGAATAATAATAATAATAATAAAAAGAAACAATACAATCACTATAAGTCTTCCGTTGTGAACGGAAGACTTAATAATAAAAAGAAACAATACAATCACTATAAGTCTTCCGTTGTGAACGGAAGACTTAATAAAAAGAAACAATACAATCACTATAAGTCTTCCGTTGTGAACGGAAGACTTAATAATAATAAAAAGAAACAATACAATCACTATAAGTCTTCCGTTGTGAACGGAAGACTTAATAATAATAAAAAGAAACAATACAATCACTATAAGTCTTCCGTTGTGAACGGAAGACTTAATAATAATAAAAAGAAACAATACAATCACTATAAGTCTTCCGTTGTGAACGGAAGACTTAATAATAATAAAAAGAAACAATACAATCACTATAAGTCTTCCGTTGTGAACGGAAGACTTAATAATAATAAAAAGAAACAATACAATCACTATAAGTCTTCCGTTGTGAACGGAAGACTTAATAAAAAGAAACAATACAATCACTATAAGTCTTCCGTTGTGAACGGAAGACTTAATAAAAAGAAACAATACAATCACTATAAGTCTTCCGTTGTGAACGGAAGACTTAATAATAAAAAGAAACAATACAATCACTATAAGTCTTCCGTTGTGAACGGAAGACTTAAAAAGAAACAATACAATCACTATAAGTCTTCCGTTGTGAACGGAAGACTTAATAATAATAATAAGAAGAAACCGAGTAAAAACAATATGTTCCCAAACTCCGTTTGGGGAACATAATCAAGAAACGAATACTAGAAAACAACAGGTAAATGTGATCTAAAACAATGATGTTCAATTTGATTACTAGATTCACAATTATAAACTGCTTCAGACCCATGTTATAACTGAGAGTACATGAAAAGCTGGTTATTTATTATGATGTTCAATTTGATTACTAGATTCACAATTATAAACTGCTTCAGACCCATGTTATAACTGAGAGTACATGAAAAGCTGGTTATTTATTATGATGTTCAATTTGATTACTAGATTCACAATTATAAACTGCTTCAGACCCATGTTATAACTGAGAGTACATGAAAAGCTGGTTATTTATTATGATGTTCAATTTGATTACTAGATTCACAATTATAAACTGCTTCAGACCCATGTTATAACTGAGAGTACATGAAAAGCTGGTTATTTATTATGATGTTCAATTTGATTACTAGATTCACAATTATAAACTGCTTCAGACCCATGTTATAACTGAGAGTACATGAAAAGCTGGTTATTTATTATGATGTTCAATTTGATTACTAGATTCACAATTATAAACTGCTTCAGACCCATGTTATAACTGAGAGTACATGAAAAGCTGGTTATTTATTATGATGTTCAATTTGATTACTAGATTCACAATTATAAACTGCTTCAGACCCATGTTATAACTGAGAGTACATGAAAAGCTGGTTATTTATTATGATGTTCAATTTGATTACTAGATTCACAATTATAAACTGCTTCAGACCCATGTTATAACTGAGAGTACATGAAAAGCTGGGTATTTATTAGTTTTATTTTTTCCAGCATTCTGAAAATGTGATCTGTAATTGCTTATAAAAACAAAACAGAATTTGTAATTTATATGGAAATCCTCAATTACTGAAAGTTAGACAACTCACAAAGTAGGACCCAGTATGCCTTATTTCGTTAAATAGTGTAACCTTGCAATAATCATTGTAAAAGTTGATCTTGGGGTTTAATATTTTCAAAACAAATCAGTCAAATAAATTTGAATGCATTAAATATACATGTATTACAATCTGTAAATGAAAACAAAAGTTTATGACTGTAACATAATTTTAATTTGTAATTCTCAGGTTTCATTTGTTTCTGCTTGCTTCATACGGAGCACAACAGGAACAGAGGTACAGGGAATAAGTCCAAGTTCAGTTATCACCAAGGAGATGAACTCTGGAGGGGTCACATCATACACAAGGTTAAGCAGGGTCAGGGGGCTGTAGTCTCTCCAGTCATTCAGATAGGGAGTCTTGTTTCCAATGGATACCAGGTCATCAGGGTCACCTACAGACACAAATATGAAATCTACATGTATTAAACATCTATATAACAAAGTACATGTACACAGAGGAAATGCTATAAAACATCTTAATATACATACATGGACTGAATAAAATATCTACCTGTATAATAATCTGCAATGTAAAATAACTGAATGATATATCTAACATTTGAACAAACATATTTTGTCATTTCTAACAACAGGTATGCATTTTAGGGTTTATTTAAGGGTTGAGTAATGCCAGTTAGTGTAATTGTTTAAATTTAGTGGGATGGATTGTTAATTTAATTTTAATTCTCTACAAATGGGATAAAAATTAACAACCCATGGAAAAAAAATTACGATACACCTGTATAGATGTAGAGCCAAAGTATTTTTCTCAGAAATTGAATTGCTGCACATTCATATTTCTCTTGGATGTTAGTGTGTTTATGTGCATATGTTGTTGGGAGTGGAGGCTCATTTTGTTCTCTGAATGGTTATAGGTGTAGTGCCCCTTTTCCAACACATATAATTTTTACCGGAATAGCCACAAAGATGTTTGTTGACAGATGGAGCCTTAATGCATACTCACCCAATTCATTATAAACAAAGGAGTCAGTCTGCCCTCGCTCACAAAACTTGTATGTCTCACAGCACACTAGGACTGGTACATTACAAGCTTTTGCTATAAGTGCTATCTGAGAGGTTCCTACTCTAGACATGACACAGCCATTAGCCAGCAGGGCATGCGCACCTAGCATCACCTTAGTTGCCTGTGAAAACAAATTTAAAATATATGTACCTCAATGATACTCAAAGGCATGTATCTATTTTTTTTCTTATTGTTTATTTTTGTTTAGGTGTTGTAATACATGTACATTGTATAATGTGTCATGTCAATATAACATATGCACCAGCAACTGCCTTTAATATCAGAGAGGATATGTGAAAAAAATTATTAACAAATAGCTCAAATATCTAAAATCATTCAAATGTACTACATCTGCATGTATTTATTATCATTTCTGCATAGTTTCCTCAATTCCCAAAATACCAGAGTAGTATCAATCATGGCTAAATTGCTATTTAATATTAAATGCTTTATTAAAGCATGCAAAAAAATAGGGTAAATGACATCTAACCTCTTGCATTGCGTATGAAGCAGCATTGATCATGATGTAAGAGCATGGAATACCAGCTCTCACAAGTCTCCTTAACATCTCCTTACCTAAACAAAAACACACATTATCTATTTGCAATCTGTCTAATTATACAAAACATATTTTACATGCTATTTACTCTTTACTTGACACTTTACAAAATGATTCATATTTTCCCTCTTTTTGCTTCATTGAAAATTACTGCCTGTACCTTCCATTTTTGGTCTAGCATCTACAACGATGACCTTGAATTTCTTTCCTTGATTCCAAGCATCACAGAGCACTCTACGAACAATTGAAGAACTGAAAAATATATTAATTATGTTTTATATTGATGAAATTCTATTTCAATCAACTTGATGTGATTATGATATCCATTTTTAAATGTCTCAAGAGATTTCTGATGACTAATATGAATAAATGACCTTGAAAAGCAAAGGAGACATATAAACTACTTTCATCTTTTTTCAGCAGCATCATTCCAATTTCTTTGCTTTGAGTGGGACTTACCACGAATACACAAGGATAACATCATCAGTTTTTATCTTCTCCTCATCCTTGACATACTTTGAAATTGCTTCCGCTGAGAGAAGAATTCTCTCCTTTATATAATTATCAATAGTATCCAGTAGTCTGTCTTTAGCCTGAAAATAAAATAACTTATAATTTAAGGATTAAGTATTAATATATTTCCTTAACTGCCATGACTGAAGTATTACATTGTAGCACTAGTGTTATTTAACTACAACTAGAAATTCCATCAGAATAACATATGAATATAAGAAGTGTGAACTCTGACCTCACGATCCTGTAGATTATTGGGCATGTGTGTGATGTGGTGTTTCAGATGTTTGACAGCATTTCCCATGCTGACTGACATCAAGCGACACTGGTTCAGGAAGCTGTTGAAGAGTTCCACATTTTTTTTTTATTTTTGCTATTTAAACTGTTACCTTAAAATTTCATTGTACTTTCACACTTAATATAAATTGCACTGCAATCTCAAAATATGGATTACTAAGCCAAGGAGATTTGTCTTCTAAGTACATTTAGTAAAGTAAACCAACTTGTAATTGCATGTGAGAGTTTCACAACTTATACTCATGAATATTTCTTGTGAACCATTAAGAAGAAAGTTTCCTCATTTGCAAAAATTATTAATAGTGGATTGATATCAAACAGCCTTTTTTCAAATAAAATTGTTACAAATAATTGTTGGTTTACAGTATTTGAAATTTTGATGAAAATTTAAACAAAAAAATGTTTTTACGTGATGCATGGCTTTAGCTTGGCTTCTAGATCTCTTGAAAGTTCTTTTTGAGGTGGAGTTGTATAGTCTTGAATAACCTAAACAAAAAAATATTAATATGAATGGAAATTTCCTATCTCATTAGTCATTATAATAAAATATTGTCTATTAATTGTGATGAAAAATAACTAAATGCCATACATTAGATGGATATGTAAATCTGTTAAAAGTTCAACATTTATTAAGGACTTCGAGGAAATTTGTTAAGAAAAAAATTTAAAAGAATGTTTGCTTGCACTCTCCCAACTAAGGATAATAAAGAGATTGGTAAGTAGGGAAAATATATTTTTAATATGGGCTTGTACAGAGTAGTGTTAATGATCAAGTAATTAAAATAGTTGTTGACTTGACAAGATGATAAAATTCCAGAATGATCAAAAAAATCTTTTCTAGGAGGTTTAAAAAGAGTTTTGAGTTGCACCAATTTTAGTCAGTCGATTGGGAGGATAAACAAACTATTTTTAAAGATGGCCTAACCAATAATTAGTGAGGGGAAATCGGAATTTTTTTTCATAATCGATTATTGGAATAATCGGATGCACTACAATCGATTAATAATCGATCAATTTCAAACATTAAATTTATTCATTTTTGAATGAAAAATAAATTGGTTAAAAATTCTGGAGTGATTTCTAGAATACATTTTTGATATATTTTGTATCATTGGATTCATTTATTAGATCATTATTTAGGATTTAGTTTAATTCAAAGAAGAATGAATCAAAAATCAAAGAATTTTTTTTGCTTTTAACAGATATTTTGAGTAATTGATTATCAAAATTATAATTGATTACATGTATCTATAATCGGAGACCATTTCGATTAGATAATCGATTTAATGTATGTATAAGTTGCTTGCAAATCATTGATTTTGACCCTTGACCAAATGACCCACATGGATGTCTCCTTTGGATAATTTTGTGTACATTTTTAGTAAATATATATCAGGGTTTTACCTACAGGAATAACATTAACTAATGTCTAACAATGTTTACATTATTTTCTTGACTGAGAACACACATAAATGTTACCCAAAAAGTTTAGTACTTTTGACAGTTAGATGTGGGACTTGAATAAAAGAGAATTCAATCAATCATACCTGTTTGAATGCTGCCAACATGGCCAGACAACGAGCATTAGACCCACATATAACTCCCTCTGCATACTGCAGTCCCAGTTTGATGATAACAGGATGTATACCCACAGAGGAAAAACTTCAAAAAACAAAGGAACTTCTCTTAAATCTAATATAATACTGGATGAACTACACTAAAATTGCTATGACAAAAAAAATACTAAGTAATGTTGAAATCTTGCATTTGGAGTGAATACGAAAAAAATTCTTACGAAAATGATTGTGTCAGAGAGACTTCTCTTTCGTACTGATGGAGGTGGTTAAAAAGACGAACTTTACGCTGAGCAACAGTCCGCTGAGGGAGACGCTGTTTTTCAAGCTTTTTTGCGACTCTTTTCTGAGTTTCTGCATCGTCAGCTTTCAGATGATCAGGGACTCTCTTAGGTTCCTTTTTAACAGCGGAAGCTGCAGAGGATTCTTTTCCTGAGGAGGATGAAGGAGCATCCTTTTTACTTCCTGCTCCAGCAGCTTCCATTTTCTCTTGTTTGGCAGCTCGTTGAGCTTCCTTGGACAATGGAAATCAAAGTAATAAAAATGTACAATAATAGGGGTTGTTACAATGCAAAATGAGTACTGTGCACAAATGCTGAGTAGAATCTAAAATGGTATAGTAAAACGTTTCAAGGGCTGTAATGGAAATAAGTACTCTGGATAATTTTCGAATTTGGAAATTCTTTTCTTTATTTCAATCAATTTGAAAGTTACCTCATGTACAAGTTGCATTTTATGCCATATAATGGAATTATATGAGTAATCATTTAATCTTTCTAAAAATATAATGAGATCAATAAAAATCACCAGAAAAGGCTTCTTTAATGCATTAATCTCACTTGTTTTGCACGTCTTTCTGCCTTGAGTTCTGCTTTACTTTTCTGAGGTTGATTGGGGTCGACTTTGTCAGCCTTATCCTTTTGATGTCCCTCCTTTCCATCTTTCTTAACTTTCTTATCTTTCTTAGCCTTTTTATCAAGTTTCTCAGCAGGAATTGATTTCCCACCTTTATGTTCTGTGGGAAGTACCCCCTCTTGTTTCTCAGCCATGACTTTGTCTATTTCCAACCTGTAAAGTGAAAATTCAACAAACCTTAAGTGTCTATTTTTTTTTTCACTTGATAAGACAAGTAAATAATTTGATAAAATCCTTTTGTAACATATTTATTGAGTACATACTGACACTGGTGGCTAGAACGTCCCAAAGTGAAATTATTGAAGGGGGGGGGGGGCTAACTGAAAAATGCCGCAATAATACCGAACTAAAATTTATTGCTGGATTGGTTCTCAGTTATCCTCAAGTATTAAAACTTTTTAATGAATTATTCAGTTATTTATTTACGATTGGCCTCGATCTGAGATAATTCGAACCCAAATGCAATACTTGATGTTTCTTGCGACACTGACTCAAGATTAATACAGATATTGATAGTCAGGTTTGGCATATTGAAAAGGTTTAAGAATATGAGAAAATTAGATTAATTACGTTTTCTTACCGTTGTGAAATTTATTTTTACAAAATTTCCATCTGTTCTCTGTTCCCGATATTTGTTCATCGGTCTAATTTTATTCGTATTTTTAGTTAAGTCGATCGTTTAAAAATTCGTTCTTTTAAAAATTCGTTCTTCATCCTTTTCTCTGAAAATGAAAAAGGTGATGATAACGAACAGTGATCGATCAAAAAAAATCTATAGCAATGCAAGTCTTTGAACAGGGCATAAAACATGGATTCCTGGAAATTCCACTGGAGGTGGGATCAGTTGACTAGGAAGAGTAAGCATCCTCTGATGACCCACCTATGCCTATGTATTGATCAGGTAGACGGAACATTCCGTAATCAAATTCAGTATGAAACAAAGGCCTTGTATGAAACACGTCAGCCAAAATACCACCCAATGATAGGTTATATTTGTTAACAAGGTCATTATAACGGCCATAGAATTTACGAAATGATGACTTTAAACGAGGTTGTTGAAATCCTTGTACCATCAACTTATCTATCAGCAGCCTTAGCCTGCCTCGGTTTAAAAATTGATCGTACTCGGAGCATGATCTTGAGTATCGAATAAGCTGTGAGATGTAAACATGCACCATATGAAGGTGATAGCGGGATACTACTACACGAATAAGGAAATTCATGTAAATATATAAATGTAATTTATAAGGAAAGTTCACGATGGAAAAGGTGACGTCATCTCGTTTGTCATACAATTTAGTTATTAGTTGCCTCATCAAAGGAGTGAAAAAAGGGGGTATTAAAGTGTCAAAAAATGTGTCAGGTACAGTGACGTAGCATCGTTTTTGAAAGTGGAGGGGCCAACCCGAGGAAAAAAAATTCAAGACTTACCTGAAAAAACTTGACAAGCAAAAAAAAAAAAAAAAAGAAAAGGAAATGTGTGCAAACTCGAAAATCCTATTTCGGGGGGGGGGGGGGGGGGAGGGGGAGGGGAGGGGGGTCCAACTTCTTTAAGTACCAATTATTTTACTTAAACACTGCATTCCCCTTATATTACCTATATTTGACAATACTGCAACCAAAGGGGGGGGGGGGCATTCGGACTTTCAATGAACATTTCCTATAGAAAAACTTATGTCTGGAAAAAAGTACGGGGGACAGGCCCCCCTGCTTCCCCCCCCCCTCCCCGACACTACGTGCCTGAGGTACGATTACTAGTCTTCAATAAAATTAGGCATTTGATTTTTCAATAAAATAAAGCATACTCACTCATTTATTAACAAATGAAATTCATCTAAAGAAACGATAGTGTAACATTGGTTGATATTAACTTAGCGATCAAAAGACTTTTTAAAATCAATTCAACTTTTTATATCGGCCTATAACACCAAAATTAACGTAACTGAGCATAATGTAAGTAAAGAACCGTGATTTCTGGTATTTATACTTCATTGTGTTGTACATGTTATATATAAAAATAATTCAATACATATATTTCCTGTTTTCCCACAACTAAATATTTTCTATCATGATTGTCTCCCTACACCAAAATCATTCGGACTGCGAATTTTGAATGATGTTTTATTTTTTATCAGAAAATGGTTAGCCTAGTCACTCTATATTACTGTACTGTGTGTAAATGGTAGTAATCTCTCTTGATACCTCTCTTTGTATTCACATGGTTAGTCTTGAATCTCTCACGATTACCACTCTTTGTACATGTACATGGCTAGCCTCATCTCTCTTGGTTTCCTTTGTTCGTATACATGTATTTGATTCCCTAATCTCCCTTGGTTCCTTGTCTTAGTTTGTCTGTGAATGATAAACTTACCTCCCTTAATTCAATTAATGTCTTCCTGTTTTTGTCTGTGAATGGAAAATTTACTCTCCCTTGGTTCCCTGACTTTGTGAATGGTAAATCTACTCTCCCTTGGTTCCCTGTCTTTGTGAATGATAGATTTACTCTCCCTTGGTTCCCTTTATTTGTCTGTGAATGATAGATCTACTCTCCCTTGGTTCTCTGACTTTGTGAATGGTAAATTTACTCTCCCTTGGTTCCCTTTATTTGTCTGTGAATGATAGATCTACTCTCCCTTGGTTCCCTGTCTTTGTGAATGGTAAATTTACTCTCCCTTGGTTCCCTTTATTTGTCTGTGAATGATAGATCTACTCTTCCTTGGTTCCCTGTCTTTATTTGTCTGTGAATGATAGATCTACTCTTCCTTGGTTACCTGTCTTTATTTGTCTGTGAATGATAGATCTACTCTTCCTTGGTTACCTGTCTTTCTTTGTCTGTGAATGATGGATCTACTCTTCCTTGGTTACCTGTCTTTCTTTGTGAATGATAGATCTACTCTTCCTTGGTTCCCTGTCTTTGTGAATGGTAAATTTACTCTCCCTTGGTCCCCTGTCTTTGTCTGTGAATGATAGATCTACTCTTCCTTGGTTACCTGTCTTTGTCTGTGAATGATGGATCTACTCTTCCTTGGTTCCCTGTCTTTATTTGTCTGTGAATGATAGATCCACTCTTCCTTGGTTCCCTGTCTCGGTCCCGATCTTTGTCAATCTAAATTGTTAGTATATTATTATCTCCCTTGATAACATTTCTTTGTACATGGTTTGTCTAATCTCAGTTTTCCTTCTTTGACTGTAAATGATTATAGCCAAAACCTTTCCTGATTACCTGTACAATGGTTACCATTATCTTTGTTTCTTTTGAAATGTTACGACAGATTTTGAATTTACGACTTTCTTAAGAATTTTTGTGAAAACGATTTTTACCATAAGTTTTAACTTAAGATAAAAGTATGTCGTAAGATTTTTTTGTGAAAAGATCCACTGGACTTCAATTTATCGTGGGGAATGGTTGTATATACAAATACATGTATATAAATTTGAAAAGTCGTAAGTTTTTATGTTGTTGATTTTGGTAAAATATTGTGATTTCAAAAGAGACAAAGATAATGGCAAGGCCATAAACTGAGAATAGACTTAAGTAAAAATTTTGATTCTCAGTATCTTGACTTTTATTTTACGTATGTGTTTCGAAATTTGCATGTTTGTTAACTATCTTAATACAAACAAATAATGAAAATTTCGTTTGATTATCAAAATTATTTCAGAAGTTATATTCATTTAAAATTCTGACTTAAGTCTGTTCTCAGTTTATGGTCTTGAGGCCAGGTCTTCCAACAATCTATTGAAATTCCAATGGGTACCAATAGCACCCTGTTATTAGCAGACCTATTTTTGTATTCTTTTAAGGCAAAATTCGTTCAAAATCTTATAGTGAAAAGAAAACACTTGCTGTGGCTCTTAATTAACTCGACATTTGGGTATTGTTAATTAACAATGGTTATTTCCATTCTTATGTCGATATATGATTATCCCGGTGAGTTTGAAATAAAAGATACCACAGAATCTGACACATTTGTTTCATATTTGGATATTTTACTAGAAAAAGACGTTAATGGTAATCTAACAACCAAGCTTTATGATAAACGTGATGACTTTAACTTTTCAATCTTCAATTTCCCTTACCTATGCAGCAATATACCTTCATCACTTGCATACGGGGTTTATATCTCTCAGCTGATTCGATACACAAGAGCATGCTCTACGTATAAACAATTTCTGAAACGAGGTTTTGTTTGTTTGTATGTTGTTTAACGTCCCTCTCGAAAATTTTTCACTCATATGGAGACGCCACCACTTGCCGGTGGAGAGCTGCAAAGTTTGTCCTATACTCGGCACTTACGGCCATTGAGCAGTGAGGGATCTTTTTCGTCCTAGCACCTATTGCGACACGGGACCTCGGTTTATACGGTCTCATCCGAAGGACCGGTCTCCACGTCCCACAGTGGGATTCGAACCCGCGACGTAAGGATCAACTCCTTACTCTGCGACTCTAGAGCAGACACTCTAACCACTGCGCCACGCGGGCGACTCTGAAACGAGGTAAGTTATTGACAAACAAGTTGATGAAACAAGATATGGAAGGGAATTACCGCCAAAAGTCTATTTATCTTGCTTTTATTCTTCCTACTTCTTTATTCTTTGTTATTATTGTAACTATATGTCACTTTATTGTTTTCATATTCGTCTTTATTACATTTTACTTTGAACTTTTTTCATTCTTCATTTTGTCCTTAATTCTATGTTGCTTTATTCTTGTAAATACGTTCTTTTTTCTTTTAAATTGAAACAGTTTCTTTAATAAATAATTATGATAATTTCTGTTACAAATGTAAATTCATTCACGCAAACCATGAAGCGCATTCAACGAAGAAGAATGCAAGTAGTTTGAATTTAATGCGGCATTATAACGCTAGGAGGCAGGGTGTTCGCTGCGAGTGTTGGTAAAATTAGGTAAGCAAACCCGGGCCGGGGTTATTCGTGATTTTTCAATTTTCTGCCGTAATACTTTATCAATCGAACCCAATTTTTCAAATGATGTATGTTATAGGTTCAGGCATGTACCTGTACAATGTTTTTATACTAACGTTTTCAGTATTTGGATAAAAGTTCTCCATCCTCTATGAATGAATAAATAAATCTATGAATAAATGATTAAAACATTTTAATAGTGCTTTTTATGATTAAAACATCTTAACCATGCAGGTAAACATAGGTAAACTGCACGTTTCTACGGGTAATGACCTCTTTACTGTTAAACTAATTATGTCTTTTTTCTTTTGATAAGAATCGTCTCGGAACAATACAATAATCTGCTGTGCACGATAAATTTTATATATATATATATATATATATATATATATATATATATATATATATATATATATATATATATATATAAGATCATTACCTAAATATGCAATATATACATCGTCGATGTAAATAAAATCCAAACCAAACACGGAAGGGGGAGTCTCACTATGGTCGTTTAGGGCGGAAGGCTCACTATATAGTCATTGCCCCCCCCCCCCCCCGAGAGGAAGTCTCACTTTATAGCCAGACTTCCGGGGGAGGACTCACTATGGGGGAAGTCTTACTATATGACACCGATAGCAGTGGGGGGGGGGGGGGAGGGGCTGGCCACCAAACATTTTTCTAGCCATAA